AAAAAGAAGTAAAAAGCATCTCGATTAGAAAGGAAGAAATAAAAGTATTCTTATTTGCAGGCAGCATGAATGACAGAAAATCCCAAGGAATCTACGAAAAAAAAAAAATCCCAGAGCTAATAAGTTTAGCAAGGTTTCAGGACACAAGGTCAACAATACAAATCCATTGCATTTCTACATACTAGCAATGTATAATTGTAATCCTCCCCCCAAAACTTTACAATAGCTCCAAAATATGAAACACATAAAGATATAAATCTAATGAACACGTCCACGATCTATATGCTGAAAACTATAAAATGCTGGTGAGAAAAATCAGAGATCTAAATACATGGAGAGATGTACTGCACTCATAGACTCAACATAGAAAAGATATAAATTCTCCCCAAATTGGTCTACAGATTTCATGCAATTCCAATAAAAATCCCAGGAGATTTTCCTGCAGGTACAGACAAGCTCGTTCTAAATTCTGAACAAGAATAAAGTTGGAGGAAACACCTGGACAACTGATTTTTGGCAAAGACGTAAAAGCAATTCAATGGAAAAAGGATCCCAAAATACCATTGGAACGGCTGGACATATATGTGCAAAAAAATGAACTCCAATGTAAACTTCATACCGTCCTGGATACTGGATCACAGATCTAAATGTAAAATGTAAAACTATAAAACTTTTAGAAGAAATCATAGCAGAGAATCTTTGTGACCTGGGATTAGGCAACGAGTTCTTAGACTTAACAACAAAACACAATTCACAAAAGTTTATGAATTGGACTTGATCAAAATGAAAACTTTTACTCTGTGAATGATAATGGTAGAAGAGAAAGAGAAGCTACACACTGAGAAAAAAAATATTTGCAAATCACATATCCAACAAAGGGCTTGTGTCCAGAAAGTATAGAAAACTCTCAAAACTCAACAGTAAAAAAACCAAATGACCCATTTGAAAAAGAGGTGAAAGATTTGAAGGGACATTTCACCAAAAAGGATATGTGGGTGGCAAATAAGCAAAAGAAAAGTGGTTTAACATTATTAGTCATTAGGAAAATACATATGAAAACCACAGTGACACACCACTCTATACTTATTAAAAAGGCTAAAATAAAAAATACTGGTAATACCAAGTGCTGGTGAAGATGCGGAGCAACTGGAATTCTCACACATTGTTGGTGGGAATGCAAAATGATACAGCCACTCTGGAAAACAACAGTTTGGCAGTTTCTTAAACAGTTAAACATACATATACCCTATGAACCAGCTGGGTGTGTTCAAACAAAAAT